CCTCCATTTCCTGCGTTGGCTTCAGAGGCAATAAATTGTAACAGATTTGTGGGTATTAAACCTAACCATTTAGTACTGAAAACCATTACAAAAGTCGGATGAAGAGGTCTGATTCCATCCTTTCTTGAGGTGAGGGGCAGTTCAGGCAACCTACAGGCCTCTGTGAATGCCTCCTGTCTTGAGCATGCCCCAGATTTTGACCTTTAATTTGTCACGTAGACCTCCAGCAAAGGTCCAATACTAAACTGGAAGGAGGAGAAAATAATTGGCTTTTTTCCCTGGCACTGACGTTTAATGTTGCTGTAGCTTCAGATGTGATAACATATGGCACTGCCTTGAGTTCTCTTATACCTACCACTGCTGGATATTTTAAGGTTTATTTGTAAAAGCACTTGACAGTGAAAGTGTGCTACTGGAAGAGTTGCCAGCATGGTTGTGGGTTTATCACAAATGCCAAATACCAACAAGAAAATAAGATTTTAAAAAAATCTTATTTTTATTCAAAATTGCTTTTTAAAATTTGACGAGTGAACACTAATCCAAAATGCCACATCTAAAATATGAAGAGACTCTCCAAATGTGCCAAGATGAGGTCTTCCCAGCTCACATGAGAAAGAGCCTGCACCAGATTTAACAAATGGCCTCTGTTGGACTGGATGGGGAGAGAACATGGAGTCCAGGACTGCAGAGCCTTCTCTTGAAAGCTCCCATCTTTGGAGTGTGTGTCAAGGATACAGTGATTCCAGTTTCTCAGATCTGCGCCAGCTCTTAGGGTGATGCCAAGGAGGCAGTGATGCACATGCACCCTAAAGTACATGGTGCTTTACAGGACAAAGCCAATCCCTTGAAATTACCTGGAAATCTCCGAGGCTTTGCAGGTGGGAGATAACAGATGACATGTTCAGGCTTCTTAGTTGTGAAACAGGAATACTCTGCTCTAATGGAGTTGAGTGCTCTTTGAGAGCAGACCCATGTAGATGCTGCTTAGTAATAGTGTCTGGAGGCGTCTACAGTTAGCTGAACAAAGGCTGGTGGGGATGGGTGTGCTTGTCTGGACAACAAGAAAACTGTCTTTCAGCAGGGAAGCCTGCCCCAGAATGTGATAGCCACTAGCTATTGGGGAAGAAAGTGCTTTTGGAAAGAAACCTTCACTCTCCCTTGTTTGCACAAGGCTACTTAAAAAACCCCGAAGAACCTCTGCAGCAGTTCGATAAAAAACTCCATGCTGCTAAGAATGATTAAAAATTATCAGCACAAGTGCTACTTGCAATGGAAACTAGAAACAAAGGCAAGTCAATAAAATGGGAGTGCTCTAACTTTGCTACTATGAGAATTTTTTTCCCCCATATATACTTTTCTTACCTATGAAACTACTTTTTTCAGTCCTGTGTGTTGTCTGTGCCTGTTGGTGTGAAAGAGAAAATAGTTGCTTTTATAGCACAAGCACTTGTGTTATTGTTTCCTGGAGACTTTTAGACTATAGATAACTTACTGCTGCTATGTCTTAGGTAGTTACAGTTCGGCAGCATATAACACAAAGAATGAATGGGAGAAATAATACAACACTGATGGTATGAAAAGTGCAGGCTGGGATTTAGTTAGAAATTGAAGCCTGATTGAAGTGCTTGGTGGTAAACCAACATTTCCTAACAAAAAACATCATGCCTCTGTCACAACCTGTACTAATGGTAGTGCATAACCTCTTCATTGGCTTGCAAAACAGTGCAAGAAACTGTACAGTGGCTCAGCTTCTTTCACAGTCTTTGCTTAAGTGGGGAGAGGAAAGGAGACTGAAACACTTGATCCAAAGGAGACACCTGTAACATGTCCCAAAACAATGCTCTCCTTGTGCTGGAATCTTTGCCTAGTTGTCTTGTTCCAAAGATTTGTTGCTTTATGTTTTATCTCTTTCCCTGTGCTGGGTTGAGTAACCTAGTGTTGGAGGTAGCTGTGCTCTGAGTAGGGGTCAGGCCATGTGACCTGCTGGGATCCTTTCCAAACTAAATTATTCCTTGATTCTGTGAAACTGTTTGGAAACAAGGGTGGCAGTTCTGGGTCTGACACATGGCACCAAGTCTGATGGCTCCATGTTCCCAGAAACCCATTGGTGGTCGGGCTGGCGGAGGGCTGCAGAAGGACTCCAAGAGGAGCTGCTTTGAATTTGAGGAGCGTGGCTGGTGGCCAGCACTGCAAGGACTTTAAAACCCTGGACTTTCTGAACTGTAGGAGCTGAAAGCCAACTGTGGGACTATTCAAAGGTGCAAGCACTTACAAATTAGGAAAGATGATGATTTTTCTTGGTCAGTGTGTAAAGAAACTTCAAACAGAAAGGTTTGAGTTCTACTTCAGATGGGAAAGCAGGATGTTGCTTGAGACTTCAACTCCAAAAGCAGGTAGGAACAACCTGCAGAATACCAACTGAGCTGCTGAGGTTCTTCTGTTCAATATGTACACCCATCCCCTCATAGACCTGTTTTCCATCTAGGCTGACAAGAAGCAGCCCTGCATGTAAACACATGGCATTTTGGAAAGGTCGTTTCAAATGTAATAGGGTTGGCAAGGGGGAGTAAGGAAGTTCAAATAAAAGGATAATGTGATGAAAGTCTCTAAAACAGGAGTGCTGCAAGCTCTTAAGTGTGAAAAATGTAGTGATGTTGCAGCTATTATCAGTGACTTTTGGCAGCAGCAACCTATGTGTTCCTTATTGCTAGTCTTTGAAGCAGACAACGCTGAATGGAACAAATTTTGGGGGAGAAAACACAGGTGGTCAAGAACAGATCAGTGTTGTGATGCGGAGGAGTTCCCGAAATGGCACTGTGGGACTCTGTTCTTTCA